GGGGGTGGGGTGATAGGTGGGCCGAGCGCGTTCCCTGTCCACGGAGGTTTCGCGTCTCTGCTGGCAAAGCAAGATGTGGTGTAATGTGGTGTCTTAAGCGTATGAAATCGTGGTTTGGTGCATGAATGGGTGGGTGGGTGCGCGGGTGGGTAGAGAGGGAGGGTGGTTGGGAGGGTGCAGGGGTGGATGAGCAGCGCCAGTGGTGAGACGGATGCGTTGCGTTTTGACATGACCGCAGTGCTGGCGAAAGGACCCTCCTGCTCCGCCCAGTGAGCAGGTCACCTTGTGCACTGTAATACCAGGGATCTTGGCTGTGACCTGCTCAATCCACGACTGCATGTTTTCGAGAAACACGGTCGTGCCGCCACAGTTGGCGGCCGCCCAGATAGCAGAGTCTGGGGAGGAGCGTAAGCAGAGGGGGGTTCTGTCATCGAGGAGGCGGCCCCCTAGGCAAGGTTGCTTGTGTAGCTAAAGGATGCTGACGTGTAAGCGGCTCGCCCGCTCTGCAAAAGAAGCCGCATGCGGCCATGCACGAGATTGCGCCTGCGGCCGCCCGGTGCACAGCACACTCGTCAAATGCACTCGGCACTTCGTGTGCACCCGGGACCTTGTATCTGCTAGACTTCTGCAAGCCATTTTTTCCTGTTGGCTTCAAACATTGAAACTCGCAGGTCCTGCTCACCATAGCCGAGGCCGAAGACCAGGAAGTCGCTTGGCGCCGCCATCGGCCGCGCCGTGCGCACCGCCTGCGCGATCCAGAGCATTTGAGGCAGCGACAGCTGCGGCGGCGACTCAGCGGCGGCGCCCTCGGCGATGATGCTTATGTAATCGTTGCGGCACTTCCCCGACGGCGGTCGCCTGGCGTTTTTTAAATTCCAATTTGCAAGGCGGCGGGGGCGCCGGCAGGGGGGCGGGGTAGGGCTTGTTTTCCAACAATGCATGTTGTAATTTGTGAGCGTAGGCGCGTGCGTGCCAGGCGCCAAGGCGGCGGCGACGGCGCGAGGCGATCCGACGTGACAGCTTTTCTGACACAGAGGCGGACAGCGATTCGGCCTGGCCCATGCACGCCGTGCTCTCCTCTGAAAGAGCGCTGCCGGTAGCTGCCACCCAACCGCCCGCGGCGCCGTACCATGGTTGTATCGCCGTCCCTGGCTCCGCGCCATCGTCCAGCCTGCCGCCGCCCATTCTCCGCCCCAGCATGAACATCGCGACGAGCGCAAGCACGGCAACCGCGACCTGGCCGCTGGATACACCCCCGGGCTTGCCAGCTGCAGTAGGCGCGAGCGCGACCATTGCGCCGCTGCCCGTCGATCCGGGTATACTGCTGTTAAGAACTGCCACGAGTGACTAACAAAGATTTCAAGAGCTCACGCGGATACTGGACCACCGGAATGGTGCAACCACTCGCAGCTCTGTCCCACGTATGACGTGCAGTTCGCTTGCCACCTCGCGGCTGCATAAGACCGATGGGAGCTGTCGGAGGGCTTCTTAATCATATAAAACCTGTATTATTGGCGTGCAGGGGGTACGGTGCCGTGTCACTGAGTCACCCGCGTGTTGCCCGAGCCAACCTCCGACCCCACACCGTACGTCAGGACGAAGCAATGACAGAAGCAAATCAGTAACCTGAAGTCTCTTGTGTCGCCTGGGTCCCGGTGGCCTCGCCAGCTGCGCACGCAAAGGTTCCAACGCGGTGTGCGCAGCATGCGCCGCCACAGCACGCCTGAGAGCATCGGCACTCCACTCAGCGGTCTGGTTCGTCTTGCACGGCAGTAATGACATGTCGCTGACGCCTTCAACTGCATCCACCCGGCACGCTGGCCCTAGAAGAGCAGATACGCAGTGGGGGGGACACCAGTCAACCGTATTCCGATAAGGCCAATCAATGCATGTTGCCTACCGAGTGTTTCAAATTTCAGCCCTCACCCACACCACCTGCCGGTCTTCTTTGAGAAACCTATTGAGTCACAGCATGACAGCATTGGATAGGGAGAAAAGAAGGCGCAAAGCCAGTTACGCTAGGTCGACTGTGTGCCATGGGGCTGGACCCGAGTGATGACGATTTACAGAACCTTTGCATGTCACTCGCATGAAATCACAAGAAGTACACCCAAGCGCGATAGAAACATCGCCGAGCGCATTCTCTAGTCTGACTGGTAGTGAGAGGGGGGAAGCACACACTGCAATCGCACAAGCACGGAGCCAAGCGATTTCGCAGGCGTTGCGGGCCAGGACGATGACGCTTGTGGCGCCGCAGCTCGCACACGGAGCTCAGGCGGCCCGCGCCGCGCGGCCGTCAGCCCCGCCACGCCCCCCTGCCCTGCCGTCGAAAGGGAGGGCGCCCTGCACGCCCCAACAAGCAGGCGGCCGACCCCTTCAGAGCTCGTCATGCGGCGGCAGCTCCTCCCCCTCGGCGCCGCCGCCCTCCCCCCGCTGCCGCCCGCCCTCCGCGTCACCCCGCGTCGAAGCCCCCTCCTCCCCTGCCTCCGCCCCGCCCTCCGCCTGCTGCTGCTGCCCCTCTGGAGCCTTCTCCTTGTCAGCGCCGGCGCCGGCGCCGGCGCCGGCGCCTGCGTCTGCGCCTGCGTCCGCCGTCTTGTTCGCGCTCTTGTCAGCCGAGGGCGGCGGCCGGGGCTTCCGCTTGTTGTTCAGCCGGTCGAACGCTTTGCTGAGCAGCTCCCAGCGGAGTGTGACCGAGAGGGACTCGAACGCGGGCTCCTCGTGGGCGGCCAGCTTGGCCTGGGCGGCTTCTTGGTCGCCAAGCCACGACAGGAATTTGTTGAGCTGGGGTGGTCGGGGGTTGGGAGAAGCAAGGGGATGGTGGGGGTC